TTACGGTTTATGCCCAGCAAAGAATGAGGCAGGCTCAAGACTCTCTTAGCAATACTAAGGGTGGGGGAATGGGACAATTCGCCACAGCCAACTCATTGCAACCAACTCATCATGGCCAACTCGCTGCAGGAGAACTCGCCGCGGGACAATTTAATAATTCTATTTAATTATTTAAAATAAATAAAAAATTAATTTTTGCCATTCACATTGCATTCCTTTTGCACCCTTTCTTTAATGATTCTATCCCACCATTTCTTTGTCCAGCAGTGAATTGTCCTTTGGCAAGTTGGCCATGGGAAGTTGGCCATGGCCAGTTAGCCATGGTGAGTTGGCCATGGGAAGTTGGCTGTGGCAAGTTGGCCATGGGAAGTTGGCTGTGGCAAGTAGGCAACGGTGAGTTGGCTGTGGCAAGTTAGCTATGGTGAGTTGGCTGTGGCAAGTTGGCCATGGTAAGTTGGCTGTGGCAAGTTAGCTATGGTAAGTTGGCTGTGGCAAGTAGGCAACGGTGAGTTGGCCATGGCAAGTTAGCTATGGTGATCTGGCTGAAGCAAATTGTCATAGAGCCGAGGGTGAAGTATGTTTTCCGCCTATTCAAACACCATACAAGGACAGCGAAGAAGTGTGTATGAATGTATTCCTTTTCTTTTACCTTGGAATTAGGCAAGGACAATGATTCAGAAGAACAGAGGCAAGAGAGGACCGATGGGGACAGCAAATTTCATTACAGGTAGTCCTCAACTTACCACAGTTCATCTAGCGACCATTCAAAGTTACAACGGCACTGAGAAAAAATGATTTATGACTGTTTTTCACACTTACAACACACTTTGCAAGCTCCCTGTGTTCACACGATCAAAATTCAGGCATTGACTCATATTTATGATGGTTCCAATGCCCTGGAGTTACACGATCCCCTTTTGTGACCTTCTGACAAATCCATGGGGAAGCCAAACTCACTCAACAACCCTGCAACTAACTTACGAACCGTGATGACTGACTTAACAACGGTGGCAAGAAAAATGGGATAAAATTCACCCAACAAATGTCTCACTGAGCAACAGGAATTTGGGGCTTAATTGTGTTCGTGCATGGAGGACTCTCTGTACACGGTAGAGTTGAAACAGGTGTGGAGTTTCCCTACGGAGCTCTGTAACTCAATCATGGGGAATAGGGACTCACAATCTCGTGCTCACATAGACTCCCCCACACTTAATTTATAGAAGGTCTTTCATGAACCGTAGCGCTTCTGCAGCTGCCAAGCCTTTATACATATTTCATCTTTAGCCCTGAAGTCCTTGGTGGATGCAGATATTTAAAGGAATTCCCCACCCACTCACCCCCATCTCTCTTCTTGGGGGTCCTTTGATGCTTCCAAAAGCTTCCCTTAGCTGAAAGCAAAGCACAACCTTTTAAAAGCACCAGATCTCCTCCATTTCATCAATCATTTGGCACAAGGGAAGGAATAAGGCTCCCAGTGTTAATTTCATCAAACCAGAAGCTCACTTCCTTTGGGGTTACTGCAATATATATATATAATCTTTCTGTCTTTCTGTCTTTCTGTCTTTCTGTCTTTCTGTCTTTCT